GATACATCTTGCTGTCACATAAAGAAATGCTCACCTACCAATATGTTAAAACTACAATATCCATACATGATTCCAATGGAAAATTCCATTCACATACATTTTGCAAATCCTGATATATTGTGTGATTTGTAAATAATGTTGTATCATAATATGAAGGACATAGTGTGGTTGAAACACTATTATTTTTCTTCCTGAAAACTCCAAGGTACTAAATAAAGAATGCAATGTTAAAAAATGGCTTAATACTAATGTCTTATAACAAGTACAATTAATTATAATCATGCTTTGCCTGCTCAGAGAAGGTGTTCAGACCAAAACACTTGATGTTGTAAGAAATCCGGATCTTACTGTGTTTGTTGTATTCCAGCCGGCCTGATGAGCTCTGTATTGAGCGAAATGCGTCGTAGGCAATGGATATGGCGGACACATTGTGGTTGAGATACTATTATACAACCTTCTTCTTGAAAAACCCTAAGGGATGTTGTTTGTTTCTTTGTTATTAAGCACAAAGCTTCAAAATGGACTATCAATATTGTGCCAACCGGGGGGTATTATATCGTTATAAGCTCACAGACTTACTGCTGAGCCATCAGGGGCTCCCCGACTAAAAAACAATAGTTTTAATACCTATGACAAATACAATTAATTATTACACCCAGTCTGTGCTAAAAGCCATTTTGTTCTCACTGCAAACCCGATTTGAAGGGACGTTGCCCGAAACGCTAATTTGGAATTCGTTAATAAACTTATTTCAATTTCACGAGTGTTTCACCTTCTTTGTTCACTTTTATACTGTGTACCTTCCTCTCCTAATACAGTTCTGTATTACCAGAGCTCTTGTAAATAGGCCTCAGGTTATAGTAAGTAATCAAAGCCATCACAATGAGTAAGATCGATTATGATTAGTTGCAAGGCCAGCAGACGTCCTGGAACACCGTTCTTTTAAAGTCCGACCAACCCGCAGCATTAAATGTCTTAAATATGTTATTTATTGAAAACTACATACGCTCAAATGTGATTTATTTTCTATTTTTTTATTGTTATTTGATATACCAGTAATATAATTATAGTATTTTTTAATATTTCTATCACCATTTTAACTCAGATATTTCTCTGTAGAGCTTTTAAATGAATTTATTATAGGCCGATTTTTCAAAGTTTAAATCCTTTACTTCAATGTTGGATTTTGTACATGTTCTGTTATAACTTTAACGTCAAATATTTCTTAAATATTGAGCTTCATGATAAATTTATATTTTGTAGAACATTTATTCCATTGGCCTTTTTAATTGTGTAGCTTTTGCAGTAAGCTGCTTTTTTTACTTTTTTGCTGCTCCCCTGTATACTGTTAAGTTAAGGATTACGACCTCAAAGGTTAATATGTTATTATCTTTATAAATTGACTTATTAGATATAGTCTGTTTGTTCAAATATAAAATTAATTTTTTTTGACAAAGTTAGGTAACAGTATTTTTGGTAATAATGTAGCAGTAGATACTAAAGATGGTCCTTTGATATTCCTGACTAGTTAGTCCTGGTGGTTAGCGTGTAAGTTAATTAACTGCATTCTTTATGGACGATAGATATTCCTCCTGTAGCTTCGAGCGAAATAAATAATTGAGTACTTAAAACATTATGTTTATAAATCAATATCTTGATATTTATTAACCCTTTTAATAGTTTTTTTTTGTAATGTAACATTTAATTGCTAGGCTGTCTGTTTGTTCTGAACTGATTTCACGTAGGTGATTGTACTAGAAATCAGTCAGTTGAAGGTGTCCTGGAATCCCAAAGAAGTTTTGCTGTTAGTAATGTTGCATATTCCACACATTTATTTCAAAAATGTTTGATGATATACCAAGGTTATAGCAGATCGAGTGTTAAAAAAATACTGTATTTTCCTTCAAAGTTAATCTGTTTAGTTGCTATTTCTGTTCCGGAGACAGATCTCTCGCTACTTCAATAGTCGCACACAAAATGAGCAATCTGAAAAATCCCTAAGGTACGGAAGTGGGAGGTATTTAGCTAATAAAACGCGTCTCAAAACAACGAAAAATGATAGGAAAATTCCACAGAGAAGTTCATATTATTTCTTCAAACAAGGAAGTGGCAAAAACTAGTGATCTAGAGGCCGTTGACAAAGACAGAATCTGTATATCATTCGTGTTTTTCTTCATTATTTATAAAATCTAATCTCAGAATTTAAAGTTGGTAACTATGTAACTTAAACTTGGTTTCAGGTCGAGTAATTAATTTGTAATTTGTTGATTAAGCAAAAAACAAATCTTGATGTTTAATTCAATGATTGGAACGGATGATAATATATAACAATGTACAGATAGACAGACAGCTGGGCTTACTTGTACCAAATTATAAACAATTCTAAAAATCTATACAGCGTTTTTATTGTATTACTAAAAAACGCTGGATTGTTTACTTGTCACTTTGTCGCACGATCCATAAGCACTTGTAAACCTTCTCTGGAGGTAAACCAATTGCTACAGTGTATACTGACTTATGTTTTGTTCGCTAGTGCTTCAGAAAATAAGTTATCATTTTTGAAGAGACTACTGTGTTTGTTATATATTTTGACAGTATCCTGAATGTAGCTCATATTTCGTGAGAATGTTATAAAAAGCAATCTTGTAACTCTAGGATGATTCGCGTTTCATCCTAATTGAAAGAAATATCCTATCTGAACTTCTGGGAAAAGTATCTATAGTCTTTTCATTTTCTTCTTCTATTAAATACGCTCTTTCTCTCCAAAAAAAGGGTAAAACGTGAAATTTTATTTTGTATTTTATTTTGCATACCTGCCATTATTGGTTAAAATTATTGTTCGAGAAGATTTGAAAGTTGTCAAAACTCGTCAGAAAAGAAATAATGTTAATATTCACCTATGAAGTGGTTTTATTGAAGATTCAGTATTGTGTTTGTTTCATTACCTCAGTTAGTACAAAAAAAAGGTTAATAAAACTTGATTTTACATATTTTCTTGCCACATTATACATAAACATTTCAATAGTAATATCCTTTATTTTTTTCTGGAAGGGGGGGGGGTTGAACTATGAACCTTAACCTAAAACTATTAGCTCTTTGTCTGAAAAGGATTTTCTAATACTCGATTGCAGATTGGAGCGTTTGACTAGCTGATTCCGTAAAAAATGGTTTTGATTTTACGCACAATTATGTGGTAATATTTATGCAAGAATTTATTAAAAACCTCAATGTGCTATTAACTGATCAACGTGTTTGAACAAAAGTTTTTCAACGACTTCAATCAAGGAAATTCCGCGTGTCTTAACGGATCGTTGGAAGGTAAATTGTACATAGGCTATTAAACTTTAAATATCTGCCTAAGTCATTTCATTATCAATGTAGTTCAAACTTTCGAAAGCACGGGCAGCTGTTTTGAAAGATTTTGTTTGAATAATGCTTGTAAATTATTTTTACAGTTTTTGTCTTGTTTTCAAAGTAATTTGCTAAAGTAAATTTTATATAACCCCCAACTGACGACTATACACACACAGACGCACATATATATATGTGTGTGTGTCTACGCACAGTGTTCGATGTCGCAGTTCCATTGTATGAGACTCTTGCGAATGACTACAAGATCAGTCTAAGAACACATACTTTGACAAACGTTCTACATATCCTCTACTGTATGATATTGCTTCGAAGACCACCTTTATTCAAATCAAAGACACAATAAATTACGTAATGAGTCTATGGTAAAATTGGATTGCTCTCATTTCAGTTTATTTTGGCATCATTCTCTTGGGAGCATCCGCAATTTTCAAGTTGTGGCCGTAGGCTGATGAATTTTTGGCTTCTAAGCCCTGCTTTTGTTTTGGGTAAAGATACCTGGAACTATAACCTTCACTTTGCAGATTAGAATATTGTTCTGAATTGGTGTGTTTTCGGACACTGACGTTGTCTTAAACACTCTACGAGTTTTTCCATGGAGAGCACTATAGGCTCCTTTTTTCGAAATGTTTTGCCCTTTGGAAGAAGCTGTGACAAATATTCCATCCAAATGTCTTCCATGGTACTATTACAGTGTCGAATAGTTGGAAATTCGCAAAGAATCAGTTACGTATATAGGTGCTAAATATGTCAAACCGTAGAGCCAAAGCATGCATTTTTAGCGCCACGTCGTGACCACCTGTAAATCTGTATTTTAATGTATGATTAACTATCTGTATATGCGTTGATTCATTAAATTACCCATTGAATTTTCCAATTTTGAAACTTAACAGCAAAAATTTAATAGATCTTATTAGTTAATAGCATGATTGTTTTTAAGTTTGTTTGTTTGGAATTAAGCACAAAGCTACACAATGGGCTATATGTGCTCTGCCCACCACGGGTATCGAAACCCGGTTTCTAAAGTTGTAAGTCCGCAAACATATCGCTCTGCCACTGGGAGGGGGGGGGAGTTAAGTATAATTTTTAGAAACATATTGTTGACTCTATTAACGTGAACTGCTGTTTTATTGCTTCTAATATATACCTATACTCTTATGAAAGTTCGCTTATGAAAGATAAAGCTTTGAGCTCAAACTTAGTTAATTTAACTTATAGATCAAATGATAATATAATTAGTTTATTTCATCAATGTAACAATAATTATTCTAAAACCATACATATATAGGTTGAGTGATGTATTAAGTTACATTAATGGAATTTGGGAATGGAACCCAGCCACTGGGGGTGCAAGCCAGCACAACTCGGTGCCGGTCCAAAGCTCGGATAAATGGGGATGGTTGGCGTCAGGAAGGGCACCCGGCCGAAAAACCCTGCCAAAACCAAAAAGAAAACAAATGACAGTTCATTTGAATGTAGCCTCGGATAATGCCAGGGCGTCCCCTGAATGCGACGCGCAGGGATCTCGCCTGACCCCTGTAAGAAGTGAGCGAGGGCTACCGCGTCAAGGATGAGCGCGGCCAAAGAAGTTAGTCCAAAATCTAAGAGTTGGAACGCTGAACGTAGGAAACATGACAGGAAGGGGTAGAGAGCTGGCAGACCTGATGGAGAGAAGAAAGGTGGCATGGTTGTGTGTGCAGGAGATGAAGTGGAGTGGGAACAAGTCGAGGAACATTGGTGCAGGGTGTAAGCTCATCTACAGCGGAGCAAACGCCCAAGGGCGGAACGGTGTAGGCATTGTACTGAACAGTAAGTGGAGGGAGGATTTGGTGAGCGTGGGAAGGAGGAGCGAAAGGATAATGAGTGTGAAGTTGAGAGTTGGAAGTACAGTTCTAAATGTGGTTTGCGCATACGCTCCACAAGTGGGATGTACTGAGGAAGAGAAGGAAGAGTTTTGGAGACATCTGGACGAAGAAATACAGTCGATACCGTAGGAGGAAAGAGTGTTTCTGGGAGGGGACTTGAATGGGCACATCTGAGCAGAAAGAGGGGTACTGCCCAGGGTACACGGTGGATGGGGTGTAGAAGGGAAAAACGGAGAAGGTGAGAGCATTATAGACTTTGCATTGGCAAACGAGATGGCAATAGTAAACACTTTCTTTAAAAAGACGCCTGACCAGTATATCACCTACAAAAGCGGAGCCAGAGAAAGTCAAATTGACTTCCTCCTGTGCAGAAGAAACCATCTTGGAGAGGTGAAAAATTGTAAGGTGATAAAGGGAGAAAGTGTTTCAGCTTAACACCGGCTTGTAGTACTGGATTGCGGAGTCAAAGGTGCCAAGAGAGGAAAACAGCGAGAAGTACCGAAAATCAAATGGTGGAAATTGGAGGAGGAACAACTAAAAGATCAGTTTAAAGAAAGAGTAATGAATGAGATAACACCTAAGGAGAATGCTAATGAATGGTGGAGAGAAAACAGTAACATCATCAGGCGCATAGGGGAGGAGCTCCTTGGTAAAACATCGGGTAGGGGCGCACCCCAAGATAAAGAATGGTGGTGGTGGAATGAGGAAGTGCAGGAGAAAGTAAAGAAAAAGAAAGAGGCGAAGAAAAAGTGGGATTCATCAGGCAGCGAGGAGGATGAGGAGGCAGCAAGAACGGCCAAGAAGGAAGCAAAGAAGGCAGTTGCACAGGCAAAAGTGAATGCAGTAAATGACATCTACGAAGAATTGGAAACACCGGTAGGAGTGAAAAAGATCTATAAGTTGGCGAAAAGGAGAAATAAAGCAAATAAAGACCTTGCACAAATAAAACAGATTAAAGATGAGGAAGGATGCGTACTAAGTGATGAGACAGAAATAAAGAATAGATGGAGGGTATATTTCGAAAAGCTTTTGAACGAGGAGAATGAAAGAAGGGTTTTCGGAGAGGGGGCAGCGAACGAGATGGATGCACCTGAAATTAGTAAGGAGGAGGTAAAGAGAGCCTTGAGGAGGATAAATAGGGGTAAGGCCACAGGACCAGTTGAAATGCCAGCAGAAGTGTGGAAATGTTTGGGAGATGACGGAGTCGAGGTGCTGTGGGATCTGTTGAGGAAGGTTTACGAGCAGGAGAAGATACCAGATGAGTGGAGAGATAGCGTGATCATACCAATATACAAAGAAAAGGGTGACATCCAAGACTGCGGGAACTATCGGGGTATTAAGTTGATGTCACACACAATGAAAATATGGGAAAGAGTAGTAGAAGGAAGGATAAGACAAGAAA